TAACTAGATGTCTAACTTCGATCTAAAGAGTGAAGCCGCTTTTTGCCCTTTTTTACAAATGACAGATTAAATTTGTGAATAAATACTTTTAACTTTTCTTTTCTTAAATAAAGTAAATATATTTTACATTTAAATGTTATTTATGTAAAGGTGTTAAGCTGAAATTAGAATATTTGTAAAATAAAAATTTATGATTCCTTAATCTATTTCCGATTAAAAAGGGATTAAAGTTTTGAATAAAAAAGTAAAACGAGAGACACTTTTGAAGTATTTTTATGAATTAAAATACGTTTTAACAAACTTAGGCTCATAAAGAAAATTTTATAAGTATTTTATTATTTTTAAAACTTGCTTTTAATTATCTTTAATTTATTAGGAACTTTTGACATTGTTAATTTTTATTCCACACTTCGGTTTAAGCTTTTACCCTTTTTATAAATGGCGGACTATTGTTGTAAAAAAAGAAAAGCGGCTTCATTTTTTGTCAAATAAAATCCTAGACATCTACTTTATACAATATATCATTGATTAATTTAATTTATAACACATACAATACAGCTAAGTACTAATTTCTAGTACAGCTAAATACTAATTTCAATACAGCTAAGTACTAATTTCAGTCTGAATAGTTCAGACCGTCATCAGACGTAAAATTAAATACAATAAAAATCTCACAAAAAAAAAAAAACGGAGGCAAAAAACCGTTATAGAAGACATTGCAAAGATGAGCTGACGTAACATAAACAACTATTTTGAAATTTCTATGATTTTTTTAAAAAGAGGTCGCCAGCTATTTGACGCAATTTTAACACCGTTGTCTTTGTTCAAAAGCGGTGGGAAGTGTCTTATTTCGTAATTTGTTTGGATGCACCCAAAAACGATCGCATTCAAGTCTAACTACCATGAAAGGAAAATAAGAGAGTCACTTGAAATTAATTATGCCCAAACAAATTACGAAACAAGACACTTCCCACCGCTTTTGAACAAAGACAACGGTGTTAAAATTGCGTCAAATAGCTGGCGACCTCTTTTTAAAAAAATCATAGAAATTTCAAAATAGTTGTTTACATTACGTCAGCTCATCTTTGTAATGTCTTCTATAACGGTTTTTTACATACGTTTTTTTTTTTTTTAGTGAGATTTTTATTGTATTTAATTTTACGTCTGATGACGGTCTGAACTATTCAGACTGAAATATTACATAAATAAATTAAAATATTAGTACTTAGCTGTATTGTATGTGTTATAAATTAAATAAATAAATTATCAAGTACTAAAAGAAATGTCATTAAAACAATTGATCATTGATTAACACCAAAACAGTGTATATTATTAACAAAGTGGTGTAAATTAACACTAAAAAGGTATGCAGCATGAAATACACCAAAACGGAGTAAATTAATACCAAAACGGTGTAAATTAACACTAAAAAGGTGTACAGCACGAAATATACCAAAAAAGGTGTAATTTAACACCAAAACAGTGTAAATTAATGCTAAAAAGGTGTGCAACATGAAATACATTAAAACGGTGTAATTTAACACCGTTTCGATGTTTACTTGCTGCACACTTTTTTAGTTTAATTTAACACCTTTTAATTAAGAGTGTATAAAACTTTCTCTTTAAAATCTTAAAGAAAAGGTAATCATAATTTTACGGTACAAGTTATTATATCTTTGTAATAGTATCCCTTGTAAAGTTATGGAGCATTTTGTTCGAGACCAGATTTTAAGTCGTTGTTTTATAAACGATCTTACATCAAAAAATCAACACAATTTTGTTTTCAAAGAGTCGTGCTTGACAAACCTTAAGGAAACACTGGATCTCTTAACAGAAGTTATGTACCAGGGATACGCTATAGACGTAATCTTTACGAATCTGGTAAAAGCCTTTAATAGAGTTTTACACAATAGACTTCTCCACAAAATTAATAAGTGGATTATGGATTAAAGCATGGCTTTCAGGAAGGTAGCAGAGAGTTTTAATCGGAGAGCGTACATCAGATTGGAAAAACGTTATTAGCGGCGGACTGCAAGGTTAAGTCTTGTGTCAGTTAATTTGAACATTAGATCAAGCTCTACGCTGATGACAGCAAAATTAATGGCGTCACAAAAGCCAATTGGGACAATAATAATCTGCAAGCATACTTAGACAAAGCCATTCAATGGTCCCATAGCTGGCTGATTTCCTTCAATACTAAAAAGTGTAAAGTCACGCATACTGGCCGAGGAAATAAAGTATCAAAACTATTTCATGCTAGTATCTGACGGTCTGCCACTTGCAATCGAAGTGACTCATTTAGAGGGAGATCTTAGAGTTCTTATCTAACATGAGCTTAAACTTAATGCTTAAGTTTCAATAACTGCGGTGAACGCTAACCGCTCCTTAGGGAGGCTGAAAACAATTTTTCGCAGCCGTACTTTTTTACTGTGGAAAAAACTGTACACCACGTATGTTCTTCCTCACTTAGAGTACGCTATCCAAGCGTAATCACCGCACCAACGGGCAGACAAAGTTAGAAAAAGTTCAAAACTGTGCTACAAAACCATTTCTGAAATTAAGGATTGCACCGCCTAGCAGCAAAGAGTCATGTTAGGTCTTACTATACTTGGAGAAAGAAAATCAGAGATATAATTCTAAAATCAGAGATATAATTCTAAGAAAATCAGAGATATAATTCACGTACCACTCAATTGTCCTTTGTCGTCAAAGTATATTATGCGTAATCATAATCAAAAACTAGTACAACAAAGAGTACTCAATCACATGCCAAGAAAGAAATCTTTCACAAACCATGTTGTGTTGCAGAAGAATACCCTACTGCAAATAGTAATTGATGCGACTTCGGTCATTATGTTCAAAAATCGACTAGATGAACATTAAAATCAGTTAAAAGAGAATTTTTAAACAATAACTGGAAATAAACTCTCTTCACATATGTTTCTAGTATTCTATTATGTTCATAAAGTATGGTACTTGTGTCGCAGATGTGCATGAGTAATTTAGGACTGTTAGTATAGAGGTTTCTGATACAGTACATCTTCGTTGGTTTTTATAAATGGCAAACATTTTTGATTTTTCAAAAATCTAAAAATTACCTACAAATTGTTGTAAATGTTTTAAATTTTTGACAACTAAAACAAATTAAATTATTAGAGGAACAAGAAAGAAGTTTTTTCTATCTTCCTCTGGTAACAAAATTTAGTTATGCTTTTTATCTCATTTAATACCATGGTTTTTTTCTGAAGAATTTTTTTTTAAAAGTTAATAATTTAAAATTCTGCAAAGTAAAAAATCTGTTTTTAAAGTCAAACACGCAAATGCATTCTATAGTTCACTTTATAGTTAACAGTGCACTCCACTTATAGAAAGTATTATAAAATGATATTTATTGGCAAAAATATATAAATAAATTTAATTTAACAATTTATTTTTAAAACAATATACCTCATCACAGTTCGAATAATTTTGTGGGCATGCATATTTTTAGTACGTCATGGTTCTTTATTCGCAGAATCGCATGAAAAAAGTAAATACACAGATATATTTGTTTTTGTTTACATAAGATTTCTTTTCTCTTTTTTATAATAAAGACATTGATTTTACTTTATATAAGTTTATTTTAACCATGTTAAGTCTAAAACTTATAATCTTTATATGTTTGTGTTATAGAATATATATTAAAAAAATAAAAGCTTTTAAAGATTGTGAAATCATTGTGTATACTTAAAAGCAACAAGAGCATTCCAAATTTTTTTTTACGTTTATATGTATGACGAAAAGATTCTTAAAAAAAAATTACGGTGATTGGAGAATGGGAACAAGAAACCCTAAAATCTTAGCCCCCCCTACCCCAATTGTGGGAGCAACAAGTTGATGAAATATTTTATGTACTATTTTTAACTAGACTTATATTCATCGAGAAATTTTTAATTTCATAGAAAATATTTTAGTGTTTAAAAATAATGACCATATAAAATTTAAAGCACCCTCAATTTGAGGGGGCTGCAAACTTTATATGGTCATAATTTTTTAACATTTTTTGATGGGGTTGCAGGAACATACTCCTCCTGAATATGCCACTGTTGTACACGATCTGCGAATAAGGTCTAGACACGCCTATCATATATATATATATATATATATATATATATATATATATATATATATATATATATATATATATATATATATATATATATATATATATATATATATATATATATATATATATATATATATATATATATACATATATATATATATATATATATATATATATATATATATATATATATATATATATATATATATATATATATATATATATATATATTACCATTTAGCATTCTTTTTTCCCAATAACTGTTTTTTATTTCTCAATTTAAATATTATTTAGAGCTTTTACAATCAATGCACAAATTTGTTTATTTTTTTTCTATGATTACAAATATTATATATTAAATATATATATATATATATATATATATATATATATATATATATATATATATATATATATATATATATACATTAAAAAAATATTAGACTTAAAATCGTTAAAATAAACTAATACAAAGCTAAATCAATATCTTTTTTATGATAAACAGAAAAAACCGTCAGTAAACAACTGTTTCTCTCAAGGTTACTATCTGATTTATGTGTTTACATGTTTTCATGCGCATAAAGAATCGTGTCGCATTATTAAATATGCGCGCGCATGAACTTATCGGAACTGTAAAGACGTCTACATAGCTTTTTAATTATTGAATGCATTGCTAGCTAATTACTGTTTCTAGCTGATTCTTACAAGAGCATTGTATTGTGTAATTGCATTAAATTAAATTTAACATATTAATAATTTATTAACAAGGAAAGTATTTATTAAAACAAAAACATCAAAATAAAAGTAAATTTTTTTTGAAATTTTAAGGTAATAGTAAAGATTTTTCGAAGTAGAGTTTTTTTTTTTGTCTCTCGGTTTGAACAATAGTAAATACTACTTCCGTTGTTAAAGGTAGAAGGGTATTTTTATATTTGATTGAATTTATTATTTGCTCTTTATTTTAATTTATTTAATTTTAGATTTAAAATAGCATTTAAGTTTATTTAGAATAGTTTTTTATATACTGCAAAAATAGTTAAGTAAATTAAACTAAACGAAAAGTTATCCGAAAGTGAACATTCCGTATATCGATAAACTTTACAAACATAAGAATAATTGTTTTTTTTAAAAAAAAAAAAAAAGATTTTAATAAATTTGCTAACGTAGCTTAGCTACGTTAGCAACGTACAGTTACTTTACGTTAGCAAGGTAAACCTTTGATTTATTGTAGTAAGTTTTTTTTACTTCTTTATACCCAGTAGGCATTGGACCCAAAAAAGACGTCTTTTAAACGTTCAAAAGACGTCCAAAACGTTCAAAAGACATAAAAAAACCTTTATAAGACGTTTAAAAGACGTCTCTTTTACGTCCGTGCCCACAGGGTAAGGTAGTAAAAAAATTACTATAGTAGGGAAGAACGAGGTGAGATAGAACAAAAAAATTTGTTTGTGTGCCGCGCTTTATATTTTCGTTAAACACCATACAAATTGGGTTAAAACTATAGTCTAATGAGTTTTCATGGGAAATTATTTAAAAACCTAATACTTAACCATCAAATTAAGTTCATAGCCTCGTTTTCTTAATGTGACTCTGTTTGTCCCATGTTATTCCATGAAAAATTACTACACACATCACCCACTCTATTATTCAAAAATAAAGCTTTTTTAAAATTGCATTAAGCAAAATCCATATTATTAATGAAAATAAATTAGTACCACAACCCTAAAATCTTATAATGAGAATAAATTTAAAAAGGGTAAAAGTGAAGACTATATATATAAAGAAATAGTGTATTTAAATTTAATTTTAAATACAGTATTAAAAAAATATTTTTTATAAAACAATACTTACTGTGAAAGATGTCTTTAACAATCAGGATAAAGTTTCAAAAAAATCCTATATAACAATATTTTTTTTTTCTAAGATAAAAAACATATTAACATAAAGTAAACATGGAAATCTTGTTATAAACATTTTACAAAAATAATTGATTGAAAAAGTTAAAATATAACAAATTAAACAACTGATAAAATTAAACAGTGTCATTTTCACCCCAATTCTTCTGTTCACCATTTCACCCCAATTCTTCTGTTCCAAGTCACCCCATCACTAGTAGGTGTCAGAAAACTTTTATTTTTTATAGTTCTTTTAACCATATGCTAATTATATTTCTTCAGTAATTAAGTAAGACAATAATAATTAATTAAAAACCATAAACATAAAAATATATGGAAATGACACATAAATATTTGATATTAATGATGTCTTCAAAATCCAGAAAACTTCTTAAATTTTAACATATTCGAAAATAATTTGAAAAATAAAATACTTTTGAAATTCAAAAAACACAATAATATGACATGGCAATGTCCCATCTCACATGGGGTGAGATGGGACATTGCCATGTCCAATCTCACCCCATGTACCATCTCACCCCGTTCTTCCCTAAATCAAAAGGAAGAAAATGCTTTGAAATAGAACGAAAAAAAAATGTGTTTTGCTTTTTTCTACTTTTATATGCGTCTTTAATTAAACTTGCGTACTGGTTATTACACACAATTAAAGTTTGTTAAAATTGAAATACTTGTAATACTGGTCTCGTTTGTTGAAACTTTTAAGATGAAGAAAGGAGAGGCTTATCACTGATGTGATTTTAAGGCTAGGTATGTATATTCAAAACTGTCGCAGTCAGGGACACGATAACAGATCCAAAATGTCAGGTGCTTACTAAAAACTGTACGTTCTCTGTAGCACTCACAGTCTCATTTTGGCTCGTGTGCACGCAGTTGCACACGAGCCAAACTGAGACTGTGAGCATTTTATTTTATTCAACTGCGTGCACACGAGCCAAATTGAGACTGTGAGCGCTACAGAGAACGTACAGTTTCTCGTAAGCACCTGACATTTTGGATCTGTTATCGTGTCCCTGACTGCGACAGTTTTGAATATACATACCTAGCCTTAAAATCACATCAGTGATAAGCCTCTCCTTTCTTCATCTTAAAAGTTTCAACAAACGAGACCAGTATTACAAGTATTTCAATTATTCAGTTATTGAGATCAAAGTATTGTTTGAAAATGTCAAATCTTGGTACGTATTTTTTATTGCAAGTCTTGCCCGCTAGAAGATCCTCACTAAAGTAACTGGAATTTCACATCACAGACTTTCTTTGACAATACGGAGCTCTCGTACCGACTCGATCAAACCACTTGCTAAGAGGCCGAGAGAAATGTTGGCAGCTGATCAGTAAGCAGCTCAGCCACACAAGAGACTTAAAAAATGATTATCATCTTTTTAATTTGTGTTTTTAAGAGGCTGTGGTTGTAGCTGAACGACTAGGAATTGAAACTGAACTCGCTACTAAAAGATAGCGCAAACTAAAGAACTTTTATAATGAAGAATAAAACACAGCCAAACAAAAGAATTTAAAGTGAACGTTTTTAATGTTGGTTTAGATCCAGCTACGACAACGTCATCAAAGTTTAGGCGGCCGGAAAAGCTCAAAAAAAATTTTATTAGTCTTAAAGATAATGTTTTGATTAATATGTCAGTTTTGAATAATTAACAGTTTCTCAATCCAGAGAAATTATAGTAACGCAAAAATACAATGTGCTGTAGCAAAAATAAAGAATATATATATATATATATATATATATATATATATATATATATATATATATATATATATATATATATATATATATATATATATATATATATATATATATATATATATGTATATATATATATATATGCGTATATATATATATATATATAAAGATAAATATATATATATGCATACATATATATATATATACATATATATATATATATATATATATATATATATATATATATATATATATATATATATATATATATATATATATATATATATATATATATATATATATATATATATATGTAAATATATATATATATATATATATATATATATATATATATATATATATATATATTTATATATATATATGTATATATATATATATATACATATATATATATATATATATATATATATATATATATATATATATATATATATATATATATATATATATATATATATATATATATATACGTATATATATATATATATATATATATATATATATATATATATGTATATATATATGTATATATATATATATATATATATATATATATATATATATATATATATATATATATATATATATATTATTCGTTTTTATCAAGTTAATAAGAAGACTAATTTATAAATTATTAATATGGGCATCATAGAATACCCCCTAGATCCGCCCAGCCAACTTTTAATTTGTAAACATTTAATTAATGTAAATGTAGCAAAAACTTTACTCATTGTAATCAGTTTTTATGAACTCAATATTAAATTCCGTAAGCAATAAAATAAAGCTCCGTAAACAATAAAACGCATTACCAAACATTTTTCTGTTTATTGCATTTTGAAGTAAATTATTGAAAAAAACAAACTTTTTTTTTGTATAATTTTTTAAACAAAAATTATTTATAGAACTTTTTCATAATAAGGTGAGTCATTAATTATACATCTAGTGAGTCATTAATTATGCATTTTGTTAACCTATCCAAAATTCTAGATAGGTTACAAATGTATTTGTTATATAATTTGTTTACAAAATTCACACGCAATGAAATTAAAGTTGAAGCGGTTTACTTTCGCATCATACGTAATAACCTGACTCATTTTTCTCAGTACATACAAGTACGATTGCGATTTAGACGTCTAAAAATTAAATTACAACAGACACTTAAGAAGACATTCAACAGCATAATAGGAAGCATATTAAAAATTTTAAAAGAATTTGTGTTGAAAAACGACTAATTCAAAATTGAACAACTGTTTAAAACTCCGAGCAACTTTATGGAACTAAGGCATAGAACAAACAAACTCGTAAAAAAAACACAACTGATAATTTAAAACAAAGCCGATTGATTGTTAGTGGCAAATCGAAAATCTTTTTAGTTTTGTATTTAATTTATGCAAACAAAGAATTCGTATTGAAAGTAATTTATTTATAAATTTTACCGCCTCTGTTTTTTGATTGTTTACGCATTCTAAATGGAATAATTTTAAGATGGCCGAATATGTTCCGAGTATTTCAAAAAATGATACTAAATACCGAAACAGTTTTTTAAATGGGGCTAAAAGTTATGATTATTTATGCAAAAGCGACTTTGGTAGAAAAATTAACATTACCATAGGTTATCTAAATCTAAGGTGACATTTTCAAAAAAAAATGGTTTTTTATGGATAATTTTCCAAAATATAGAAATGTCAAGTTACATTCATTGCAAACAAACACCAATACGTGCTTTTATGAAAAAATCAAACTCATAGACTTATCTATAGCCAAGCCCTAAGGTACATTATGTTGAAAATTGCATCTTTTCTTAATGCAACTACGCTTGACGACTTGTTATAGTCGCATTTCTTTGTCCAGATTATAATAGTGGTTAAAGTAATCTTTTCCATACATACCAATATGTTTTTTGATGAAAAAACTTACATATGTTCTAATTGAAAAAACTTACATTTTTGTTCGGAAAAACGTGTACCAGGCCTTAGTTGCATTGAGAACCTTAGAGCTGTTTAAATGTCGCCAGACTTAAAATATCGCGAGACAAAATTTAAATAAAAAGTTTATTTAAAACAACTTGATTTTAATTATTTACTAACAATATTTACCATATTTTTTTAAAATGAAATTATTTATTATATAGTTGTTTTTTATATAGTTATATTTAAGGAAAATTTAATTACCTTAAAAAAATTTGCTATCTGTTGGTTACAAGTAATGCGGAAGTAGTCCAGTATAGTACAATTATTTCATTATTTATTATTGTAAAATATATTGACGAATTTGTACCAGTAAATCGGATATAACTTTTAAAAAAAGAAATGCGGATAATTTATTATAGGCTACGTCTAAATTATTTACCAAATTTTACAACAAGTTTTACAGAAAATTTGCGATTAAAAAAAAGCTTTTAAAATGTTTTTAACTTTTATATTTTATAATAATTTACAATTTTATTTATATTTTAAATTTTATATCCAAAACTTACGCAAAATCAATAAATTAACTCTAAACAAGGAAACTTATATAGTTTTTACATTTTCTAAATTTCTTAAGCATAATGCTATAAAACGTTTTATTAATTAATTTTAAGAAGACGTTACAATATTATTGGTTAAACCAGTATAATATAAAGTGTTGCATTGACGCCCAACAACCACAGCCGCTACTAGTTGTTGCTAATGGTTTCGGCGCCAAGCCCACTACTTAACCCAATATCTAACTAAACATTAAATTGTTTTCGTTTCAATGACGCATTTTAAAAAGTATTAGTAATTATAATTTTTTGTGTTCACTTATTCGATTTTATATCGCAACATTTATTCAAAGGTTGAGTTAAAGTTCAGAAAAAAGTTTTTGTTGTGAAGATGCGTCACTTGTTGTGAAGATGCGTCACTTGTTGTGAAGATGACGTCACTTGTTATTTTGCTCTGATTTTTATTTTGTTACAATTTTTTCCAATTTTTTTTGTTTGAGTAACAGTTAGTTATCTATAATTTTCAGTTTGTCAAAGTTTTTAAATTACTATTATTAAATAAAGCTAACAAAAACAAACCTTAAAAAAAACAGAAACCTTTTTTTTTATAGCAGCAGTATTAGTAATAATAGTGTCAAAAATTTTACACAATGAAAAACTAAGCAAAGCAAATCATGTACTACATGTGATTTTTTTAAAATTCTTTGAATTGTTGTAATTCTTATTTTTATTGTAATATCATTTATTAATAATAACAACAAAAATGAAATAATTACACACACACACACACACACACACACACACACACACACACACACACACACACACACACACACACACACACACACACACATATATATATATATATATATATATATATATATATTTATATATATATATATATATATATATATATATATATATATATATATATATATATATATATATATATATATATATATATATATATATATATATATATATATATATATATATATATATATATATATATATATTATATATATATATATATATATATATATATATATATATATATATATATATATATATATATATATATATATATATATATATATATATATATATATATATATATATATATATATATATATATATATATATATATATATATATATATATATATATATATATATATATATATATATATAAAAGAGCTTTAAATTTCAACTGGTCATAATTTTCAATAAAAATTTAAATCTATTTGTAAATAAAAAATAAGATAAAAAAAAGGAATAATATAAAACTCAGTAAACTGTTGTCTTCACATCGGGGTTGGGGTAGGGAAGATGCACAAATTTAGGAGTTTTTGTTGTTCTAACCTCCAATCAGGGAGCACTTTTATTTAATAAAGAATAAATATATATATATATATATATATATATATATATATATATATATATATATATATATATATATATATATATATATATATATATATATATATATTATTAACAGTATTAAAAAAATTGAAGGTTGGACAGATACTTGATAATGGGATAATCAGATAAACCTTTTAAAGTTTAAAATATTTATATTATTAAATTAAAAAATAAAAAAAGATAAAAAGTCTCAATGTCATTTCAAAAATAGACGCGATATAACTTAACAACTATGAAACATTCAACAAACCTCAAGGCCTTATTATTAGTTTTTATGTTATTTAAAAATAATTTCGTTTTTATCATAGTATCACTAAAGGTGGGTCTTTATCATGATGATAAAAAATTGGTGGGGATTAATGCACTGTTATGATAAATTCATTAATAATGTAATAAGCAAATATTAATGTGTATTTATATAAGTATTTTAGCTATACAAAATTTTTTTAAAGAACAAAACTATAAATAAGCTAATTATAACAATAAGAATAAATTTATGCAGATTTTGTTTTAAAAATAATTTTTATGAAAGATAATCAAGTTAAAAGGATTAATAAAAAATTTACAAAAACAAGTTATCACAAAGCAAACTTATTTTAAAAGATTAAAAAAAAAATAAACTAGTCAAATAAAATATACGATCAAGGATTTTGTTAGCGTTTAGAGCTGAAAAACAAATATGTTTACATTATATTTATAGTAATAAAAAACATGTTTCTTGATAAATTATTTGTTAGCGCATATCGATCACCAGGGATTTGTTTCTTAATTATTTTTTTTTAGAGAATGCTTATTTCTATCGCAGTTTTGACTGTTGCCGTAGTTTTATTTGTTTTGTTCGTGTATAACAAGTGTTATACTCAACATTCTAAAACAAAGCTGTATTGCAAAGACAATCTTATAAAAAATGCCTTATTACGTATAACTCCAGCTATAAAAGAAGACTTTGTACCAACCTTCTGGGCAAGCAGTAGCTTTCTTCAAACTTGGATGAGGACGTTAATTCGTATAATTCATACAAACGAATTAGTAACTAAACGCCAGTACGTTGAAATGCGAGATGATGGCATAACATCTCTTGATTTTATTTATCGTGATGAAGTAATCAGCGATAATGAAACCAAACCTATTCTTGTCATTATTCCAAGCGCTTTGAACACGCATCGAAAATCGTATACTCAATTGTGTAATCTCGCAATTAGCAATGGTTATAGGCCAATAGTTTTTAATAAAAGAGGTTATTCTAAAACACCATTATCTCATTTATCTCCGCTATCTAGTGAGTCAGATTTTGATGATACGTTCGCTTATATAAGTAAAAAATATCCTTTTAGCGACCTCTATGTCATTGCGTACTCAATGGAAGCAACCAACTTTGTTAATTGTTTGTACGAATACGATCCATGTCCACGAATTCTTGGCGTTGTCTGCATTTCTGCGACATTTGGTTGCGAAAATTTTACAAAAAATCTTTCAATCAAAGAACCGTACAACCGATTATTAACAGAAAAATTAAAATCGATCTACTTGCAACATTCGGTTGTAAAAGAAAGTTTCAACTACAATTTAATCCAAAGTTGTAAAGCTGTGGACGAGCTGCAAAAACAAATTAGTAAATCTGGGTATAAGTTATACCGACCCATTCCTAAAACAAACACTTTTTTTACACCGGTGTTGTTCATTAACTCCGTAGACGATCCAGTTGTTCCAGTTCAATGTTTACCTTACTCTATAGTTTCTAAATTAGATAATTGTTTTCTTCTTACAACTGAAAAAGGAGGTCATTGCGGTTTTTATGAAGGAGTTGTTCCTTTGTGTTGGGCCGAAAAAATTGCTTTAAACTTTTTCGAAAAAGCAGCAAACAACAAAAAATTATTCTCTTCTACAATGCACGGATCAAGATCAAGAAGCGCAACTTGTTATTAAATCGACTCAAAATAATGGTAACTTTGACCAATTTACTTACAGAAATGTTTCCCCAAAATATTACCTTTTCGTACAATAAACAATCGGAAAAAATTTTAATGTTACTTAAATACGCCTTACTTTACAAATCGCAAAATGGCTATGACATAATAGTCATCATTGTTTAGTAAATAAAATAAACAAATTATTATAACTTTGCAAACAAACGAAAGAGTAATATAGCAAAAAAGTATTACAAAAAAATAGAAATAGTTTTAGGAACCCCAAATTTATAAATAGAAAGCGCATACGGAAATTTTATTGAAGCTAATTGTGGCCTACCACGATGGTAAAGATATTAAACAACGGATATATATAAAATTATTATTGATTTTTAATTTTTTTACTTTTTTTATTTTTGTTCTTTTCATAAACATTTTAGCAAACCGTTGTACAATAAAATCGTTAATATTTAAATAATAAAATCATACAATAAGAACTAAGTATAAGATAATACAGTTATACCAGTATTTAATATTATAAAAAGAACGCGGGTACTCGCGTAAGACCGTCAGGTCTTACTTGCGGTAAGACCGTCAGGTCTTGTCATCGAGAACCGCTCGCAATTAACAAAACAATAAACCATAATCAGATATAGTTTTATATCTCTATAAAAACTAGACAACATAAGTACATAAAATAATACATGAAATTATTAAACGTTTAAAGATATATTATCCAGAGACAAAATAATTTCTTTAGATTTTTTTTTTAAATGAGAGGTAACTCTATTTCAGAGAAAAATCAAAATGTTTTAAAAATACTTTATTCCAAAGAGAACCTTTCCGAAATGCATAGTTTGATTTTCCAAAATTAATTTGATAAAAAGGCTGAAGGACCTTTCAGAACCAGTTACGGATATTGGAACAAATAAACACAACACAACTACCTGCTTAACCATGTCAAATAACTGCGGGTACTTGGTTCAAGGTCTTTTAAAGCTGGTGTTAATCTTTAGGCAGTGACCTGTCCTTAAACAACTGTGGAAGCAGTTGCAGCTGTAACTGCAACATAGGAACATTGACATTACTTGGCAAACTTTGCAGTGGCATGCTGGCTAGGTTGGCTGAACTACTTGTGGATGTGCATGAACCTATCATAACCCAAACCTAATTTTTTTTTTTTGTGCACATTTTAAGGGCTTTATTTTATAGGCCCCCTAGGTGGTTACGGCTCTGTATATATATATATATATATATATATATATATATATATATATATATATATATATATATATATATATATATATATATATATATATATATATATATATATATATATATATATATATATATATATATATAATATATATATATATATATATATGCAGGCCCTTTTAGAGGGGGAGCCACATGGGCCATATGGCCTGGGCTTCCGATTTTGTTGGGGCCTCACATTTTCAAAACACATTTTTTAAACACGGAAATAAATATCAAAGTAATTATTTTAATCTAATTATTCTAAACAATTTAACTTTAGGTTAACTTAAAATAATAAATTAATTTCTTTTTCATAATTACACATTTCCAAACGTAAATCCGACATGATAAAGATTACGTCATGTAATGATGCAATTAACCCTCCGTCGGGCGCGCTTGATCAAATTGATACAATTACTTTTAACTCGTACTAGTTTTAAAGTTACATGGCTTATTGTATGGCTTTTTGTTTTAAATGAGATTATTTATAATATATTAACTTTAGACTCGTTCTGCTTATTAGTAGCTTCATTTTTTCTTAGATTTTTTAGTTGTAATTCATCGAACAAGATTAAATCAATTTGTTTTGAACTGTTTCTTTTCATTTTGTATAAAATTGATATATTGCGCTTTTGTACCTTGCGTTTTGTACGTTACATTTCGTAACTTTGAGAATAGTAATATTTTTTTGTTCTGGTAAATATTTTTTAATTTTAAAACATAATTCGTTTTATATATTTGTATAAGTTCGATTGATGTATAAATTTATTATATTTTCAAATTTCAATATTATTTCCAGATATTAGTAAAATGAAGAGAAGATTTGGTAGTGGTGCAAGTAAAAGTCGGCGGAGAAAAGAATTGGCCGAAGAAGCATGCACCGACTCAAAGAAAATATATATTTTCTTTCTTTCTGCTGGTTAACCAGCAGGAAATTTAAATATTATAAACCAGGAACGGGTTGAAACCGAAATCTCATTACAGGAAAATGCAGGTGATAATAAAATTGGAGAAATGGAAACAGAAATAAATGATCCGATTCATTAAGGTAATCCGTTCAATTAGATTGACATTGGGATTATCAACAAGAACAATTCTTGTCAAGTGAACTCTTTTCTTAAGATTACTTGTTTTGAAATTCCAAATAATATCGTTAAAGGCTCTAATCATCATGCATTTCCTTATCGTTTCTTAAACAAAACTCTTGCAAATGGTGAAACATGCAAAAGAGACTGGTTGTGCTGGAGTGTTGAAAAACAATCTTTGTATCGTGCACCATGTCTTCTTTTTAACAAAAATGCTGCAAATGCAAAAAATGCTGAGGTTGGAGAAGATTGAAAGATCGTATTCCGTCGCACGAAAGTTCAATTTACCATAAAGAAAACTATATTGTACAGAAATCTGCTAGTAGAGCAGCATTATGTGAAACTTCAGTGGATAATTTACTTTTATCAGAACTCAAGACTGAAACTGAAAATTGGAAAAAATTATTCCAACGTATTCTAGATGTTATTATTTTTCTTTCTGAACGTGGATTAGCACTTTTTGGTTCTAACCAACGAATAGGTGATCGAGCGAATAGAAACTTTTTAGGTATTATTGAGCTTCTTAGCAAATATGATCTGCTTTTAGCTGAGCATGTTAAACATGTTTGAGAATCACAACAGTGTAAGCAGCGAATGCAAGCTCATTATCTTTCAATGCGAATTCAGAACGAATTTATTGATATTTTTGGTTCATACGTTCAAACTGCAATCCTCCACGAAGTTGTGAAAGCAAAATATTTTTCAATAATAGTTGATGCTACTCCAGATTGCTCGTACGAGGAGCAAACTACTCTGGTTATTCGTTATGTTAAAATTTTAGATAATTCAAACTTTTCAGATTAAGAAAGATTTATTTTATTTGAAAATTTAAAAAAAAAAACTGGAAGAGAAATTGCTGCTTGAACACTAGAAATATTGAAAACTTTGAAACTGGATTTCAAAGCCTGCATTGGTCAAGCTTACGACAACGATGATAATATGGCTGGAAAGTATACCGGGGTGCAAGCGGTTTTGATACAACAAAATCCAAACTGTATGTTTTCTAGCTTCGGAAATCACTCATTAAATTTAGTTGGTGTCGATTGCGCTGAATCATGCAAAGAAGCAGTAATGTATTTTGGAACAATTCAGCAAATGTACAATTTATTCAGTAGCAGTCCTCAAAGGTGAGAAATTTTAAAACAACATCTTCCTGTTCCGTTGCATGGAATGTCCAAAACAAGATGGTCAGCACGGATTGATGGTGTTAAACCAGTTGCACAACATTTGAACTCAGTAAGAAGTGCTTTAAATGAACTTGGGGTGTAACATTTAACAGCCCAGGCTAAAATGGAACTCAATGCTATTCAAAAGTATATTTCCAAATTTGATTGCATTTTGATGTTGTCTATCTGGATGAAGCTACTCACCATGATTCATCAGACAAATCTAATCATCGAGGCACGCCATGCCACTCTTGATATTGAAAAGGATAACATAGAAAATTTATGTAACGACATTCAAAGGTTGCGTGAACAATATGATTAGATTTTAAATGAGTCAAAATTTGTTGCAAGAAATATTGGTGTTTCATGTGAGTTTTTAACTAATCGTCATTTTCCAAGTCAAGATGGTGAGTTGTATTATAAAATCAATGTATATTTTGTCATCATTGACTCTATTAAATCTGGCCTAACGCAACGATTTCAGTCTTTACAAGAAATTTGTAAACTTTTTAGATTTCTCTGGCAGTTTAAAAATTTGAATGACGAAGATCTTGTATTGGCTGCTCAACATTTTCAGCACAAATATGACAAAGAAATATCACAAGAACTTGAAAATGAGGTTTTATTTTTTAAAAGAATCTATGGTGCTAATTTTAAACTAGACTGCACACCAAAAAAATTGCTGGAGGAAATACTTGGACTTGGTCTTTCAGGTGTCTTTCCTAACATTACAATTGCATTACGAGTTTTTATCAGCTTGCCTGCATCGACGGCTTCGGGCGAACGCACATTTAATGTTTTAAAGCAGATAAAAAATTATCATCGTTCAACTATGGGGCAGGAACAGTTGAATGGACTTGCTATGTTGAATATAAATTGCGATATTGCACGAAAACTAGATTTTTCAAATATAATTGCTGCATTTTCAGAGCAAAAAGCAAGAAAAGCGTTTGTAAAAATTAATTAAAACTAATTCATTCTGTTTTACTTTTAGTGAATTTCTTTAAATTTTATTTTCAAAATGTGACATATTTAACTATTCATTTAAAGTGACAAATAATTACATATCGAAAAAAACCAAATAATAAAAACCAATTCATAATTATTTATGCATGAATCATTTATTTGTGAAATCTGAATTGTAACATTTGCAATAAAATAACAGTGTAACATTACTGAATGTACAAACGTACATTATTGAATGTACAAACGTACATTCCACTCATACGTCGTACCTTCTTAATTCCCAGGCCTCCCCAAAAATGCGTTTTTAGTAGACAAGCGCGTCTCTTGGCTAGTTTGCTTGATGAAACGTACAAAAGGCGCCACATCTGTGTGTGACGGTCTGTCTAATTTATTGCATTTAGTCTTAAAGTTGGAAACATTTATCGGGTCCTGATCTATCTGAAGACTTAAATGGCTTTGCATTATCTTGCGTCGCGTTTTGCGCAAATTTTTTTTGGGGCCTCCGATTTTTAACTGGCCTGGGCCTCTCCAAACCTCTGAAAGGCCCTGTATATATATATATATATATATATATATATATATATATATATATATATATATATATATATATATATATATATATATATATATATATATATATATATATATATATATGTATATATATATATATATATATATATATATATATATATATATATATATATATATATATATATATATATATATATATATATATATATATATATATATATATATATATATATATACAGGGCCTTTCAGAGGTTTGGAGAGGCCCGGCCAGTTAAAAATCGGAGGCCGGGGCCTCTCCAAACCTCTGAAAGGCCCTGTCAATGGTAAAAAAGTCCTATGAACAAAATGCCAGGCCTGCTGTTATTTTACTCGTTAATGGTGTGCCCTTCAAATCACATTGCCCTTGTCCAGTTGGTTCAAGTGGTTTATGTTGCCACGTATTATGTTTACTTTTGTTTTTACAACATTATGTCGCTATGGAGACGTCCACAAAAGAAAAAATGCTTGAGCTTACTTGTACACAAACTCTTCAAAAATGGCACAAAAGAATTGCAAAAGATTCTATCCGTATGGTGCCTCTTAAAGATATTAAAGTAAAATCAGCAAAGATAAAAAATAACATGGCACTATTACATGCTCTGCTGCTGACCCTATTACATGCTCTGCTGCTTCGTATTTTAAACGTGATGTTTCTAACATATCTCGTGAACTAAAAGAAAAACTCAAAAAGGAGAAGCCTGTTACTGAACATTTTTATTCAGCTCTTTCTAAATATGATAATGGTAAAAAATCTTCTTTAGGAGAGCATTTAACTTTTATGTTTGAAAAAAAAAAAAGCAATTTGCCTTGCTGATCATGATTATACAAAAACACTTTTGTTTGATGAAACAATATTATCTGATGACACAATTAAGTTACAGAGAATTAATACAATTATAACAAATTTCGACAATTCTCCTACTTTTAATGTACAAATTAGTATTGCAAGCTCTGAAGAAATTTTGGCACAAGATATTTTACCTATTGAAGTAATAAAGTCCACTAATGCTGAAAAAGACAATAATGCACCTAGTATTAGAAATAGCATAAAGAAACAATTAAAAATTAACCAAAAAGCAAAAGTTCATATAGACATAAGATATTTAAACTCACCAAAACCACTAGGAGCTAATTATAAAGATGTTACACAAAATACTGAAGAGTGGGAACAGTTAAGTAGATTTAAAATAACTGGAACTCGATTGCCTTTTTTACTTGGACTTCAGGGTAAAAACAAATTTATCGAATACTGGAGCACAGTAAAAACTGGTAAAAAGGAAGATGACAAACTTTTAGCTATTAAAAATATTAAAAGAGGAGTAGAGTTTGAAAAAACTGCTATATCTTATTTTGAAAACGTTTCCCAAACAAAAACAACTAAATGTGGTTTCTTTACACACTCTACAAAAATCCGCTATGGAGCAAGCCCAGATGCTCTTGCTGCTGGTGGCTTGCTTTTGGAGGTTAAAACTAGGGAAGAGAACTCTGATGGACACCTTCAATCATTAGATCAATTTCCACATTACTATATACAATGCAGGGGCGGATACAGGTTGTAAAGATAGGGGGGGCACAAATGGGGTGGGGTTTAAGGAAGGGGGTATTCCCCTCCCTTTCTGGAGTCTATAATCAGCCGCCAATGATTTTTAATGAAATGACAACCCAAAATGGACAGTTTCCAGTACCCTTTTCTAACTAGTTTTGTTAATATAACATTTGCAAAATCATTGTTTTTTTTCCAAGAATGAATAGCAAAAACACTTTCAATTCTCAACATTTATATATTGAATACACTTTTACATGTATTGTTGCAATTTCCAATTACAAAGCAAGATTATGTTTTTTGATATTACAGAAAGTCAAAACGCAATATTCTACATTTAACAACTTCTTAACTTACTGTAATAGACTACATACTGTGATAGACAACGCAAGAGTACATATTACATATTATTTTTTATTACAGAAAGTCAAAACGCTGGAATATTCGTCTTAATCTACTTTCATCACGTTCTTAAATTTAACTTAAGGGATTGATGAACAGCATTCTTCTTAGATATTGGCCAGCATACATATCTATAACTGCATCTATAGGGAGTGGTATATCTTTGTGTATGTAAAGGAGTATCAGAGCATTAAATCTGTCTTCACCCATGGTACTTCTCATATTATTTTTTATGAATCTTAATGTGGAGTTAGCTCTTTCAACCCCAGATGAAGTAACAGATGAGAGGAGTAAAATAAACAATATCTTGGTAATGTTGGGAAATACTGTTTCACAGACTATCTTATTAGTCATTGTTTCAACAAATGTACTTGGTTTTTCCGTGTCAGAAAATCTACCCCACATGGTTTTCCAAATAGTGATTTCCTGACTAAAAGTGGAAAGCGAGGGGATATCATCTCCAAAGTGGGCTAGTAATTCACTAATATCTGCACTAGTAGTGTTGTCAAGGTTTGCTGGCAATAACTTAAGCCCTCTCTCAGTTAGACCTGCAGCGTCTCCAAAGCGGTTACTGAACTGCATTATAATGGCGTCTAAGAACCGTATGAAAGTCACTCGTTTAAAATATACTTTTGCTGTATCACCTTCAACATTATCCCTAAGAGTTTGTCTACCACAGCGTCTGGGAATGGTGAGTCCATCTAAATGAGCATGCTTTGCCATGTTGCACATTTTCTCATACACTTGTTCATACTGTTCTTCATCACATCTAGCTGTTGCGAGGACTTTCTTGATATCATCTACAAGTGTAAAGGTTTGGATGACATCTAAGGTCGAACCTTGTAATTTTCTACACAAACCACTTGTGTAACCAAAGACAAAAATTACTGACTGAAATGCAGCTATAAATGTTGAGTCAGATAATTTTTTTTAAACCCAAAAGCTTCCGTTTTGGTTTTACTATCCCACTCCAAGGGGCAACCACAAATGGCAGAGAGGCAGATAAGTATAGCTTCATACATGATATCAAAATTGTTAAGAGTTGAATGTTTTTCAGCCCACCGTCTTTCACAGAATAATTTGAACTTTTGTGTGGTTATTTGGTCCTTTTTCTCTCTGTTACCATTTATTTCCGAAACAGCCTGCTCTAATCTTCTGCTTCGTTTTGGCGAGTATTTAAAAAATATTCCAAGCTCCTTCAGTGTTTCTAACATAATGTGAATCTCTTGCAAGTCATAGCTCTTGCAAAATGCTAAATTCAATTAGTGACTCCAACAATAATGGTACACTGCTCGAGGGGATTGCTGGGTGAAATGTGCTGCCAGGCCTTTGTTCTTCCCAGCCATGTTGCCAGCCCCATCCATTGTCTGGGATCGACAATTTGCAATTTCAAGCCCAACATCCGAAAGAGCATCGATGACTTTCTGGCATAGAGCTTCTCCAGTGATAGATTCACATGGCAAAAATTCAAACAAACGTTCAACTGGTTTATGCCCTACAGTATACCTTAGAACAAGTCCCAACTGCTCCCAATTACTGCTGTCAGTAACCTCGTCAAATTGTATGCCATATAATGGTCCCATCGGTTGGGTTTTAATTTGTTTAACAATGTGGTTTTGAATTACAGTTTTCATACAGAATAATAGGTCATTCTGGGACGTTTTTGATATGTATGAGGCATTTTTATAACAGTTCAATAAATGGTGTTTGAGTACTTTATCCCCAGCTTCGGCACGCATTTCAAGTAAGGCTTTGAAGTTTCCCTTGTTGCTACTAGATGATGTGGAATCATCTCTGTGACCTCTCAATGCAATCCCCTGTCGATCACAAAATTCAAGGCATTTTATAATTGATGCCAACACTGCTCGGTTTTGTTGCACTTGCTTGGTAGATTCATCGGATATTTGCACATCTATCCTCTTTGCAACATTGGTAAATGTTTCCACGAAAGAATGAGCTCTGGCTGACGAATTTATGTGGTATTCACACGAAGCGTGATCTTTCAAATCAGTTACAGCATCCTTCCAATTTCTGTATGGCTTTGTTATTAATTTTTTGGAGCGACGATGTAAGTTGTCAGGAAATAGTATGCAGTGTAAGCAATACAAACCATCTGACTTTTCTGAATAAGTGATAAAGGGAAAGGTTTTAAACCATTCTCTCTGACAAAATCTGTTAACATAGCCAGACTTGTGCGTTTTACTGCTGTATTGTTTAGGTGGGAATTTAAATGTTCCATTAGGTTCTCTGTTGCTAAGGACAAAAAACTTTGTTGCATCTCTTACTGATGTTGACGACAGACGGACATAATTGTCTATCTCAGTTCCATGGAGAAGTGTCTAAAAACCATCTTGTTTATCATCCGTAGTTAAGTGCAAAATATAGGAGTTTGATTGTATTTCACACTTTGTATGGTTAAAAATAAATAATATTTTTAGTACTTTAGCCGTTCAGAAGTTCTAGTGTATACTATAGACTATTCAGATGTTATACATTATATATTTTAAACTCCAAAATTGCAAGGAATAATTAAATACCTGCGTAAAAACTGGATCCGATAACTCGACTGCGGGAGTTGCAAGAGCAAGTGAAGGTGTTTCACCTGACGTAATGAAAGTCCCAGGGGCACTCACTTGAAGATCATCACTGTTTACTGGTGTGAGATCACAGCAGGTACCGCAGGTGATGGCGTTCCTGTTGACGTAATAGACGGATCATCTATTGTACGACGTTCTGCAGCAGTACATACAAAGAAAATTAATAAATCTAATAAAAAGTAAACTAAAGTAGTTTTGGAAAGCATTTGGGTACCACATGTCATCGCCTATCGCGCAAAACAAAATTTTAAATATTAGTTACTTTTGATTGGAAAAACGTACTTACTTGCGAAAAAGCTTGTAATCGGTTGATGTTGATTTTGTCGCTTTCTTTCTGCCATATTAATCCGTTTTTGTAAACGACAACAGTTCAGAGTTCATTGACATTCTTAGCCAAATTCACGCCAGAGGCCTGGGTCTATTTGTAGGGAAAAAAATAAAAATGGTAGCTTTTTTCAAAACTTTTACAGTAAACAAAAGCTTAAAATCTTGTTCTGCTGTTTTTTTTTTAGAAATTTGAATTATTAGCTTCAGCTATATCCTAGACTTTATTATGGTGAGATGGAAAGTTGAAAAACAAAAATTCGAGGTAGCAAATCAAAATTGAAATGGAAATCTTTTAAACAAAGTCGATCCTGTAAAAATACATAATATTCTTCAAAAAAAAAAAGAGCCTTACATAAAGAAGAATATAATATTTGCCGTTCACCCAATCTTAAACAATAATTAATTAAACATTAAAAAATCTACACTTCAAATAGAACTTTAAATATTCTGAATTAGTTTACCAGAAATATATTTATAAATACTTAATTAAATATTTATATTAAAATGGTCTCTCAGTTAAATAGTTTTGTGGCATAAACTTAATTCATTCCATATCCTGACTGCAAAAATAACTCCAAAAAGATTGATTGATTTACCTACCGAACTGTTATCTCTTATCAGAGACAAAGATTAAGTAGCAGTTGTGTGACTTTCAAAGCTGGAGTCCTTTTCGAGACTCTATCACTGTTTGCAATGTTGATGATCAGCTAATGCTAAAGACATTCCTAATGTATAATTAAAAATGCTATGCAAGTTGGATAGCATTTATTTTCAAGTATAAACTTCTATTGGATAATCCAACAGAAGTTTGTGTCCCAAATGTCGAACTTTTTATATCGATAATAACTTATAAAAGCTATTAAATGGGCACTAATTTCATAGTTTCTTTGAACCACAGTACACGTTTCACTTTACTCAAATAATAGGTCTTTTTTTGACATTATATAACTTAAAACGCAAACAAAAAATGTTGATAAAAGAAATTACACATTAAATATAAACATTTTAATTTAAACACTTACTTCAAAAATAGATTTTTCAAAAAATTTAAATCAATCTTTTCTAAAATGATACAAGTTTTAACTTAATAATAAAATAGGTTGACATTTGATATAAACAAAACCATTTATATTGAAACAAATAGACTTTACGAAAGTTTGTTGTTACTTATTTGCTACCATTTTTATTTTTTTCCTTACAAACCGCGTTATATGAATTTGGCTAATGGCCGTAAGTCATAACGCCAACGTATATATTCTATTATAGAACGAAAAGTAGCCTGGACCCTGAATACGCTGTTAGTTTTATAGAGTGAATGTCTGTCTTTTATAGAGTGAATATCTGATCTGAGAATGGATCGACATAATTATAAATAAAAAATTAATCAAATTTTAGGGGGGAGGGGGAGGGCACGAGCCGGCTGTGCCCCCCTCTAAATCCGCGCCTGTCATCAATAGTTCTATATATTAGCACAATAATTAGTTCTATATACATTTCTTATACATAATACAAGTTCTTTCTTATACAAATACAGTTCTTAAGATTATAACAATATATATATATATATATATATATATATATATATATATATATATATATATATATATATATATATATAAATATATATAAATACATATAGTTTTAAAAAGTAGCATGATTAACTAATTTGCATCACTAAAAAAAAACAGTGGTAGTTACGTTAATTTTTTTTAAAAAGTAAATTTTTTTTTTAGAAGTAAATATTCTTATATACAACTTATATAATGTAAATAAATAAATAAATATATATATATATATATATATATATATATATATATATATATATATATATATATATATATATATATATATATATATATATATATATATATATATATATATATATATATATATATATATATATATACATACATATATACATATATATACATTTATACATATATATAAATACTCATATATATCTTATTATACTGCCACTTATTGCCAAATTTCTATACAAAATTTTCTTAATTATTTCCACTTTAAATATTTTGTATAACTTTTTGTATAACTTTTTGTAGCTTTTTGTAGCTTTTTAATGTCATTTGTATCGCAACACCTTTGAGATACAAAAGATATATTGTGAATCGAGAGATTTAAGAGACTAAAGTTTAGTTCCCCATACTTTTGGGTACTAAACTGAAGTTTAGTTTTAAGATAGATATGGTTTTAGAATGTCACTGAAGTGACTTTCTAAAATCATTATCTAAAACTCATGATGAATCCATTTAACGACGCTCATCGATGATTAACGACATCCATCAAACAATGGATGTGATTTTAAGAATGTCACTTCAGTGACATTCTAAAAGCCGCATTCATCTTTTCATCGCTAAGAAAAACTATTTGCAATGCATATCATATTAACACATTAAAATTTTTATTTTAGTGTGTGTTTTTTTCCAGATTTATACATACTCATACAGTGGTGTACACTGGATTTTTAGATGTTTGAGTTTTGACACCTACACACATTTTGCAAACTCTAGACTTTTGTATGTTTATACTAATGTCAAATGAGAATGTTTTGCAAAAAGTTGTGGTGATTGGAGTTTGGGGACAAAAAAAACCCAATTTTTGGGCCCACCCAGTCCTTAATGTGGAGCAACAAGTTGATAAAATAATTTCTTTAGTATTTTTATCTAAGTTTATATTCATCAACAAATTTCAAACTTCATGCTATAACCTCTTAGTTTTTAGTTTTTATGACCCTACAAAGTTTACAGCCCCCTCAAATTGAAGGGGGTTAAAACTTTATATGGTCATAATTTTAGAAAAATAAGAAATTATTGGATGAAATTTGAAATTTGTTGATGATTATAAACTAAGATAAAAATACTAAAAAAATTATTTTATCAACTTTCTGCTCCCACGTTAAGGGCTGGGTGGGCTCAAAAATTGGGGTTTTTTTGTCCCCAAGCTCTTATCAATTCAATTCAGTTCAATATATTTTGAAATAAGTTATAAAATTTCAAGGACTTTTAAAAATAGTACAAGTACTAATCTAAAGTAAAAATCTGCAACATTACAATAAAAGTGATCATAATAACAATAATAATAGTATTGATAATAATTATAGAAATAATATTAACAATAATAATAAGATGACGATGAAGAGGAATATTATAAGTAACAATAATAATAAAAATATTATATAATCAATATTAGATAATAGCAATAATAGTGATAATAACAATTATATAGTATAGTAGTAAATAAACTTAAGAAAAAATTAAAAAAAGCAATAATAATACTTATTATGTTATAAATAAAAATAACAATTTACTAATAAAGATAGAAGAATATTATTATTATCAATACTAACAATAAAAGTAAAAATATGAGAACAAAAAGTTAATAATAAAACTAGTAGGTATCAAGAGAGTAGTAATAATAAAAGCATAACAACATATTTCAGAGGCTTTAGGTATAATATCTTGCTAAAAAATAGTTAAAAAGGCAGTTTTTGAAATTAGTAATGGAGTCAATCGATTTTAATGGTGAAGGCAGACTGTTCCATGATTTTACACTTTGGTATTTTATGGATTTTAGACCATATTTTACAGAAGAATAATTTGGTACATGAAGATTATAGCTATTAGCAGATCGTAGATGAGAGCGACAGCTTTCTCTAACAGTAAAAAAATTTGTAAATGTGCTGGGTAGGCATTTTTGTTTATGATAGAAGACAAAATGGCAATTTAATAGTTGAACTAGATCATTAATTTTGAGTATTTTGGATAAAAAATAAAGATGATCGGAGTTAGATTGATAATGCTGAAAATATATTATTTTTAATGCTTTGTTTTGTAAGTTAGATAATCTTAAAATTTCTTGGGTGCGGATTTGTCCCCAAACTTGACACGCATATCAAAGATGTGATCAAAAAATGACATGGTATATATTGATAAGAGTTTCAAGATTGACATAATGACGAATTTTAGCTAACATCCCATTTGATCTACATAGTTTTATTGACAAGTCCTTAAGATGTTGAGAAAAAGTTAAATTTGAGTCATTTTTGGTTCCGAGATACTTTAGGTACATAACTGGATTGATTTTTTGACCACTCAGCCTAAAATTTAGGTGTTTACTGATTTTAGATTGTTTTGATTTAAAGATGATAATTTTAGTTTTACTAGTATTTAGAGACAGTTTGTTAAATCGAAGCCATTGAAATAGATTAGATAGATCATGATTAATTTATTTGTTTATTTTTTCTAATGATTTGTTAATTAAAAGTAAGTTAGTGTCATCGGCAAAATGGTAAGAAGTTGTATATTTTAATGATAAATTAAGGTCGTTAATGAAAACAAGGAAAAGCAATGGTCCTAATACAGAGCCTTGAGGTACACCTGTAGTGCATTTTACTAAAGAAGATGTGTTTCGTTAATAATACAAATTGAAACCTATTATAAAGATATAAGGTAAACTATTGGAGAGAAATTCCTCTAATACCATAGTATTCTAATTTACTTAGAAGAATAGAATGATCAACAGTGTAAAATGCTTTCTGTAGATCAACAAACACACCACAAGCAAAAAGCTTATTGTCAAGAGCTTTTCTGATAACCTCAGTGATTTCAATAAGTACATGAGTTGTGGAATGCTTGCTTCGAAACCCATATTGGTGTTTGTAAAGACATTGATATTTATCTAAAAAGTTGTAAAGTTTGTTGTGCATAGCTTTTTCAAATATTTTACTGATGTTTGACAGTAGCAAAATTGGGCGATAGTTAGTGTGGTCAGCCTTTTTTATAAAGTGGAATAATTTTAGCTATTTTAAAGACATCTGGAAAAAGTCTATTCTCAAAAGAGCAATTTATCATTGTACAGAGAGGCTTCAAGATGATATGGGAAACAAGTTTAAGAAGAAACGTGGGAATACTATTGATACCTAAACCTTTTTTACTTTGTAAACTTTTTATAAAATTTGATACTTCATTTTCAGTGACTGGATCTATAAAAAAGGAGT